ACATTGATCGATGAACATCCCCAAAGTTTCGTTTCAAAATATTAATTAGGTAAAATTTAAGAGGGGGTGGAAGGGACTTTTGGGACACCCTGTATACATCGTCACTATTGTCTCAGTTTTATCAAAAAGTGCCATGTCCTTCCTCATCCTGCATAATTCACTTACCGAAACCGCTGATGATTTGGACGATGACGATGATCATGAAGCCTGCAGCGACTGCGTGGTGGTGAATTCCGGCGTAGAGACCGTTTTCGATAGCATTGTACGGTTTGTTGGGGTTGTAGAGCACGTAGCCGTAAGCCGCCGCTGAGACACTAATCACTACCCCGGAAAGAGCGCCCGCCCAAGCTGCGACCTGCAACAAGTCATACTTCAGCTCAAACGTCTGGTTCTTATATTTTATATAGCATGAAGGTGATGTTGTAATTAAAGCAAATTGGAACTCGTACGACAGTTATATATAAATCATCCACGGACCTATTTACGAGGACAACATTTTTTGTAGAGCAGTTTTTGTCAAATTTGGTTGGGAAATCAGATTTGGAGATTTCGTCGGAAAATTTACTCCAACGTCCTTGAGAATAATTTACAAGCAATTTAGTTTTTTCTTTGTACCAAAAATAGCGTAACGCATCTCGCAGACATTTGCAGCAGATACATTTTCCCAACAAACGAACAGAAAGGTTCTTTTTTGTAAATATATTTATTTTCATGATCCACGCTGAATCCTTCCAAGGAATTGTACTTTCCTGAATTATCTTCACAAGCAGATCATCTTACTCAAATTTCTGAACAAATTAAATTCCGAATGAATTATGTCACGGTGCTTTTAAATACTCTAAGTGATTTCTTTGAATGTCGATCATCTTAACTTATCTCCAAAAAATCTGCTAAAAACAATTTTGGCACGTTTTGTACTAAAGTAACTGTGTGCAACCATCCGCTTATCTTCAAGTTATTTTGCTATCAATCAAAAACTCACACATGCTATTTTATAACTCACCTTTGTAAATTTATGTCCATTTTTCTTCAGGTGATTCAGGATGAATGCTCCAGCTATTCCTACAACATATGGACCGGCCCGAGCGTGGCTTTTCATGTAGACGTGTAAGAATGCTTCATGAGAGCGAGGCTTCGCTAAGTAACTAGAAATGAAATTGTCATTAAAATAGAGTACTCGCATGCGTTTATCGTACATACTTGATACCTGCAATACTTATTTTAACCCGTTGATAGAATAATTGAGGACACCGCACCAAGAACAGCCTATAACTGGAAACCGCGTTTTGAGAAAAACGCATTTAAATTTTTGTTTTTGACGTACTGCGCAGACTTTTCTATGCAGGTACCCTGTTTTGGTGTTTTTGGGTGACCTAACCCTTCTATTGAAGGATGCCGGGTAGATTTTGCGATACATTTTGGGTTTACACTCTAATATATTTAATTTAAAAAAGCGGTTTATAGGCCATTATTACGCCCAACAGTCATTTTGGTGGCAATTTGAAGTATAAATCATTTTAATCACGCATGATTAACGCAAAATGAAAGAATATCGATTGTGAGTAAAGAAAGGGGTAACTAGCACCTTAGGCCCTTAAGTTTATAGGCCCGTTTATAGGTCGTTCTTGCACCCATCGATCCAGAGGCCTGACTTAACTTGGAAAAAAAAGGTTTTTCGACCTCGAGCCGTTACCTATCTATATTCTATCGCTATCACAGCATAGTCCAGGGTAAGTAGAATCCGAAAAGCAGATGGGCGTTATAACGACCTATACGCCTATAGGTTGTTCTTGGTGCGGTGTCCTCAGTTGTGACCGTGCAGGAACCTTAGAAATTTAACTATTGACTTTTATCTGAAAATTCAACGTTTGATTTGACTGATTGAATACATTATCTCGTGCTTGGATACTTTTAGCCGTATTTTAAGGTCTATTACATAGATTTTCTGGGGAGAAAATCTGAAATTTGCCTCTAGACGTAATGAATTCGTTTTCCCCGAAAAATTGTGAGTAAAACATTTTTGACGATGAGGGGGGCTAAGAAGCATTGTGAAAGCGGCAACCACACAATAAGACAAAGTCACAATATTTAGTGTTAATATAGGGAGTAGATCACAAAGTAACCTAGACGTGCGGTTGATAATTTTTGGTAACATTTTCTTTGGATCACATTGATCGAATCTTCGGATTGAAAATTTGCGATCTGTAAAAAATCAGGCGCAAGGTGTCAGGATCAACCCTGAATCGTATTGGTGATACTCCAATGCGCTAGCCACTTGCAAGTATCCAACCATTCCCACATGTGTCAGAAAAACTTACGGTTTTGGTCGCTTCAACAAAAAATTTTGTCGATCAACCTTCTGGTTTATCCAATCGAAAAAAATTAACTTAAAATAACCCAAAGTGACCAAAACCACGGAAATGTTCAACTATGTGTATACATACATTGATGTGGCAAAATATGTTCAAATATATATCGACGTTTATATCATTTTAGTGTGAATTCACCGAAAGATTACGTTTCAAACAACTTCATCTTACACTCACTCATAGTATTGCTTCAAGACGCCGTCGTATTGGTTAACAACAACAATAACGAAAGGTATGAAAGCGCTGATGAAAAGAGCCAATCCAATGATGGTTGTTTTCCGTGAGCTCCATCTCCAGCAAAAGTAAATCATCACAGATCCTACTACGAAGAAGTGCATATCAGCCGCGATATACCAAGTTTGAAGTAAACACTAAAAAAACATACATACAGACATTAGTCAGGGAAATCGGCAAATGATGTTGTAACTCTCTATACAAAATGTGTTAAAAATGTGCTTACGCTAAGTCAATTTTTAAAGATGATAGTTGTCTCCCTTTCTAGGATATAGTTACAAATACTTCCCAATTTTACGGTCTAATACATTTTTTTTCACAAACATTCTTGATTTTGTTTGCATTTTAATGTAAGTCCTCTGATAATTTATGGCTTGAAATCCATCGCTTGATCTTTCTAAAAGCTCCTACCGACGAAATTTAAATTTCTGTGCTTCACTTCTCCCACTTTTCGCCGAACTAGGCTAAGAGAGAGAGAGACTGCAATGGACGTAATACAACTATTACGACGATCAAGTAGCTCAAATTGCATATCCACTCAAGTATAGGGGCACATCGTTTCTCACCCGTGTTCTCACTTGTTTACACGTTTAGAACTTAAAACGAAAAACAATGATTTGCTCTATGCTTTTCAAAAATGTGCGAAGGACACTTTCATCAAACTGCAGATCAATAATTTTTGAATATCTTTGTCTACGACCATGAGCTTTACGGGCAAAGAATGAACAATGCTTACGTAATCCTGAGGATTATAATAGTTGTTGATGAATAGCAGATTTGTCCACCATCCCTTTCTACAGTAATCCACTTCTGTTTCAATGACGGTCTTCCACATGGGTCCGTTGGCCAGTGTGGGCAAAATGAAAATCGTACATGCGAGGATGAACATGTAAGGCGGAAGCACTCTGGAAACATTGCCAGGGAAATACATAAATCACAAACAATCACTATGAGCTTCAAAGAATATCAAAATAAAATGCATTGAGACACAAAATAAGTAACGCAAAGTGAATGCAATTGTATAAAAATCATTATAATAACAAACTGTAATGCATTGCACAAAAAAAGAATCGGTCGAAGTTAAACGGCAGCAGTGAATTCAAGTTTTTGTTCTAAAAAATAGAGCTGCCCTCGGACCACTTCTTCCTTCTCCCCCCCCCCTCCCCACGGATGGCGGGAGGATTTACCCATGTCTTTTTACAGACAATTTTCAAAACGGTTTGAGCAAACTATGAACAAAAATTCGGGTTTTTCTTGCTTGTTTTTTTTTTGTTTCTTTTGTCTTTGTTGAGCGAAGGTTTGCCTCACGCGAAAGAAAATAGTAGTAGTAGTAGTAAAATAATTTTATTTTAAAGCGGTGCTTTAGCATCTAAGGCCATTCACACCTCTAAAGAAGGCAGTACGAGATTGATAAATAAAAGAAGATGTGCCTTTAATCCTATTTTTGAGGATGTTTCAAAGTTTTATTTCCGAAAATATCTGAGCAAAGACTCCATTTACGTAAACTTTCAATGTTTTTTGAGACTTCTTGCGTCGAGATCGTATTGCCTCGCTATGTATTATAGACTTTGCGACTTTTTCTCTCTTTTTTCCCCTTTTTTTCTTTTCTTTCTTTTTTTACGATCAAAAGGGAGTGAAGTGATCTCCCGAGAATTCTTCCGGGTTCTTTCAGATCGAAAATATTTTTAATTCAGCAATCATATTCAGAATTCTAATTTGAATTGCCACTCTCGCGGCACCATGCGGTGCATCATGACATCACCTGTGGCGGTACTACTTGGCCATGTAAAATCTAAAAAAAAACAAGCAGAAAAATCCAACATGAATATGTTGGAAAAGCGTGCCGAATAACTAAAATGTTGAACACATACCTACTATTTTCACGTATTTGTTATTTGCATCAATTGGTACTTTTTGCTAAATTTGGGAGAAAATATTGATTCATGAACGTTGAATGTAAATTGATTTTAAAGATTCCGTCCAATTATCTTGATTTTAAGCTGATATGCGGCATTTCGCACGACCGTGATTTGGGCGAACTGCCGTGCATCGAAATCGCGTTGAGTTAATCTCTTTGGATTTCGAACTGTAACTTCTCTCCTATTCGGCCGATTTTTACAAATGAGGTTTCTTTTTATTTGTACTTTAACGGAAAGTAAGGAAAAACTCGCTAAATAGACGGAAAAC